AATAACCTTTTTTTTTTTAATTTCCCTTTCGTGTTATTTGATTCTTGTGATGTTACTTTCTCTTTCTTTTCTCAAGTGTTACTGATAAAATAAAAAGTTCTATACTTGATATAATACATTTTATTTCGCGGGCATATTGTCTAGCTCTGTTTATTAATTCTGTTTAACTGTGTTTATTTTGCTTCCTATGTGTACGCAACATCAATGTTCTTTAAGATGCACACTAAAAGAAAGATAGTAGCACACAACAATACGAACACTTTCTTTTTCAAAAAAAAAAAAAAACAATACGAACACTACTCTACGGCTTATGGCATGAGAGACGATTGCACAGTGGAGTAGCGTCAACCCCCATTTACATTAGGATGAATGGACCGCCAAGTTCATGACACAATCATGGCACGTTTCTTTTTACTAAGAGTTAGGTTTCAGGCCTATCCCAAGAGCAGGGCCAGTTACTTAAGAGTTAGTCTCCTCTCCAGCAGCTTTTTATTTAAGAAATTCAGCAACATTGTTTCGATTTATTGATGATAAAAGTTTATAATTAAAATCAAGAAAATATGAGGCATCAAAATTTCTATAAGTATATATTGCATAACTTTTTACAAGGTACAACACAAGTGACCAATAGAACTCAAGATTCTTGGTTAATTATAAGACCATCTCTAATCCAAACTTATTTTTTGCTCTATAATTTCCACAAAAATAAATTAATTCTATTTTAGAGTATTTTTACTCCAATGATTTACTTTAAAATATAACTACTTTATAAGACCATCTTTAATCTAAACTTATTTTTTGCTCTATAATTTCCACAAAAACAAATTAATTATATTTTAGAGTAATATTTACTCCAATGATTTACTCTAAAATAGAAATACTTTATTATACAAAAAAATAGAACAATTCTATCCCTTATATATTAAAAGAGAAGCATTGTAATAAAATTATTGAATAGAATCATTTGACAATAAATGCGTTCACAAACTAATTTTTTTAATTCATTATTTAATATGTTTATACACTATTTTTTTAATTAATTCATTTTTCCTATATTTTTAACTTTTGTATTAATAAATTAAAACTTTCTACGTGAAACTAAGGAATAATATATTTACTGTAGAAAAAATTAAAAAATTACTAAGATACGCATCAACTAAAATGTTGTGATGAAAATGTTTGTAGGAACCAAAAGTTTCGTACCTTACCCAAGTTGGTCATGGTTGATGTTTCGGTACACAATAACAACAAATTAGGTGATTGATTATGAGTTAAAGAAGTTGAGGTGAAAAACACCACATGTAAAGTCGGATCTTTTGTTTAGTCAAATATTAACATTTTTATAAAGTTTTCATATCAGACCAAGAATTAGAAACAAAATCAAATTGGTAGAAAAAAATCAGAAAAACTTTAAAAAGAAATAAAAATCACAAAATTAATTAAAAACAGAATTCAAATACCAAGTGAAGATGTCATTTTATAATATATATTATTTTTATTGTTTACGGGTACAATTTTATTTTCTTCGTATGAAAAAATGTTATTAGTTTCTACGTTTTTTTATTTTTACTTAATTTTATTTAAGAATTTACTATCATGTGTTATTTTGAACAAAAATATTTTGAATCTTATTTAACGGTATAGCATATATTTATCATCACATTTATATACTTTTACATATACATACATGTACACATTGACATGAGCGACTATATAACTAAATATTCATCACAAGTGAAAATTTTAATTCTTATTGAAGTTGATTTTTTTTTAATGTTTTCTTTCACTATCACTCAAATTGTAGTGAAATGTTTTATGTTAATAATTTTGTTTTTCAAATATTATTTAGATTTTACTTGATTTTACATGTCTTTAGAAACTATAATAGGAAACTCTTAGTTCGACATCAAAAATGTCTAAAATTATATAAAACGAAACCAAACAAAAAACAATAGTTTTTGGTTATCATCGAAAAAATAAAAAACATGAAACATTTAAACTAAACAAATCAAAATAAATATAGATTTAGAATGATAGTTATATTTTAGGAGATTAAAAAAAAACAACGTAAAACTAAACCAATATTCATGCTAAACAGACTTAATATCATTTTATTTTAAAAGTAACAAAAGTAATAATCTCATTTTATGCAAATCGCGGATTATTACCTAGTTTTAAAGTAAAACACTAGAAAAAAAATTACTATAAAATAGAGTTACTTTACTTTTATGGAAATTATAGAGAAGAAATAGATTCGGAATGAAGATGTCGGATTGTAAGTGCTTCGCCTTCAACCTCTTCCGCTTCTACTCCAATGTAATTTTCACTCTGTCCTCGGTAGAAAAATAATCTCAAATAGTGCTGATTAATACCGAAGAATAATTATTGATTAGCCTATAGACTGAAGTTAATGTGTCTTCAAGTAACTGCAAAATTTCTCATACAATAAATATCATTAGTCTATCGCTTGAGAAGCCAGGTGTGTACGTAGTGGTATTTCGTTTGATCCAAACGACAGATGCTGTGCAACAGACAATTGATTCAACGTTCACAAACTATCTGTCATAACTTTTAAAAAAAAAAAAATTTGGGTCAAAATTATGATAATTTATTATTTTTTTATTTTGAACAAAGGTCAAAATTATGATAATTATAACTAGTGTTTGATTCGTACGTATGTACAAGTGTTAGTTTTCATATATTATTAATTTATGTTTTATGTGACTATTCTATATTTTAGATATGGCACTATTTTGTAATGTAATTATATCGTAGAAAAATTAATATTTATTTATTTTTATACTTATATTTTTCTTTCATTTAAGTTTTCTATATTTTGTATGTTCATTACATAATGAATTACGTATTATTGTATTTACAAATCATGTTGTATGATGTAAATGTGATAATTTAATTATGTGATATAATTAACAGATGTATTATATATTTTTCATAATCTGTTTATCATATTGAAATGTTTGTTTTTAATAAATAATTATATGTAATAAGTTTTAACAACTTTATATAAATAAAATCTATATTACATAAATTAATTTTATATTTTTACATAAATAAAGAAGAAACGTTTTTTTAACAATATGAAACATATTTTCTTAAACCAATTTTCTAAACAACATAATAATAACATTTCAATAAAAATGAAATGATAATTAGGATTTGGTTTGAATCATTATAATTGTGGTTTGGACCAACATAAGATGTGCTTCATAAAAAGTTCCTTAAAATTAAAATATTTTTAATATTGCTATCAATATTTTCAAACATATTTTTTTACTATTGATACACATATTTTAGAATAATCTCATTTGTATTTCAATTTTAATAATATAGATTGTTGGGCACCACCACATGTGAAACTGATTTCAACATTATTGTGTTACCCCCAAACACACAAACTTGTAAATATGAAAACGTTTTTTTTAACACTTGTAAGAACAGTACAACCATTGGAAACAGATGATACATAAAGACGAAAAAAATTGGGATGTCAGTAGACATCATAAACAAAATGACTGAAAACTCACAAAAATAGACTTCTTAATTTTGAGCCTCTAACATGAGAAAATAGTGAAACCATGCTGGTGAATGTTGGGCGATGTATGACTGATGACGCTGATCACGAGTGACACTTAGAGCAATTGTCATAGCCGCCTCATTGCGTTCTTGAAAAGCGAAAAAACGTTTAATTTATTTTGCTCTACAAGAAACGTTTTAATCATTTACAACTCTATATACAAGTCTCAGCCAATATAACATGATGATTAATTTGTGGAAGATTTCTGTATCCCTTCTTCTTTAATCGATTTGGATAATTAAATCCAAAATTGTAGAATCTATAAAATAAAAACCGTGTTGTTTTATCTCATACTCCATCCGTCTCACTTTAGTTGTCATTCTAGGTTTTTCACACAGATTAAGAAAATATTTAATTTTACATATTTCCAAGATAAAAACACAATTACCTATACACCTAACCACTTTTCAACCAATAGAAAAATAGAATATTATATAAAAATAATAAATTTTGTCTCGAAAATCTAAAACGACACTTAATTTATGACAAAAAAATAAGGCTAAAATGACATATATTCTGAAACGGAGGAAAAAATTAAAGTCACAAAATATTAAATAAATATCAAATTTTCATCAGAATTAGAAAATATAAATAAATTAAACCAAAAACGAAAATTTATTAACAACTTATCAAAAAAAGAGAAACTATTAACTAGCTGACTAATAACATGGTGTAGTAACTGTTTGTGATAATATATTTGTTATGTCACCATTTGCATTTAAAGCCGTTATAATGCATTTTGTTAATAAAAACGCAAATAATCGTAACTTGTAAGTTGTAATCCTTAAAATCACTTAGCCTTAAATCCAATTGTCAGCAAATATTTGAATAATTAGAAAAACTCAATCACTTCTTCACCTCACACATCAGTCATTTTGTTCCCTTTTACTACCTATATATATCAGTGGCTTTAAATGGACAATAATCCTGTATCATTGACAAAATCTTTAACATTTAATCCTTGACAAAGTCTTGAGTTTCTATTTAGACATATATCTTCGGTAAGAAAGTATAAGCTTATCAGTTAAAAAGTCGTGTTATCAAAATTTAATGCGTTTCCTTCTTTTTTTAGTCAAAGCATTTATATCTATAATGGTTCCAGTAACTTTTAATTCTGGCTACTAAATCTCCCTATGAAGTACGAAATCGCTATGTACTTTAAAAGCTATTTTTTTTTGTTCAAAACTAATTTTCTCTGATTTAACTTCTAAAATAATTTAAAGATTTTCCCAAAAAAAGAAACAAAAAGTTTGTCAAAGCAAACAAAAAAGCTATTCACATGTACGTATAAAATTATAAATCGAGAGAAAACCCACTTTGTTTTTTTCTTCTGTAAGTCACATTCAAGTGCAGCAACACAAGATAAAATTATAAATCAACAACTTATTTTCTTCTCTCAAAGAAGATGAAAGAGTACTGGACATCTCTAGCTTCCCTTCTCGGCGTTTTAGCCTTCTGCCAAACCCTAATAAACTCAGTCTTCCCACCAGAACTCCGTTTCGCCGTCACAAAACACTTAAACAGACTCTTCCAACTCTTCTCCTCCTTCTGCTACTTCGACATAACGGAGATAGACGGCGTCAACACCAACGAACTCTACAACTCCGTCCATCTCTACCTCACCTCCTCATCCTCCTCCTCCTCCGTAACCTCAAACCGTCTCAACCTCACGCGCTCCACCAACTCATCCTCCACCACATTCACCCTCTCCAACAACGACTCCACCCTCGACACTTTTAACACCGTCACCGTCCTCTGGGAACACGTCCTCACGCAGAGACAAACTCAAACCTTCGCGTGGAGACCAATGCCCGAGGAGAAACGTGGCTTCACACTCCGTGTCAAGAAAAAGGACAAAGGCTTTATCCTAAACTCTTACTTGGATCATATCACGGAGACAGCTAACGAGATTCGCCGCAAGAATCAAGATCGGTTTCTTTACACTAACTCTAAAGGTGGGGCCATGGACTCGAGAGGGCTTCCTTGGGAGCCTGTTCCGTTTAAGCATCCGTCTACGTTCCAGACGCTGGCTATGGACCTGGTGAAGAAGAGAGAGATCATGGAGGATCTCAAAGACTTTGTTGAGTGTGAGTCTTTTTATAAGAAGACCGGTCGGGCTTGGAAGAGGGGTTATTTGTTATATGGGCCACCAGGGACAGGAAAGTCTAGCATGATCGCAGCCATGGCTAACTATCTTGGTTACGACATTTACGATCTTGAACTCACGGAGGTGAGAAGCAACTCGGAGTTGAGGAAGTTGTTGATGAAAACGAGTTCAAAGTCGATAATTGTGATCGAGGATATAGACTGTTCTATCAATTTAAAGAATAGAAACAATAAAGAAAACAAACCGGGGATGATGTTAACCGGGTTCGGTTTAGGAAATGATGAGGGGAGTGGGGACACGATTACTTTGTCCGGTTTGTTGAACTTTACTGATGGGCTTTGGTCTTGTTGTGGAAGTGAGAGGATCTTTGTGTTTACGACCAATCACATTGAGAAGCTTGATCATGCGTTGCTTAGAAGTGGGAGGATGGATATGCATGTGTGCATGAGTTACTGTACGTTTGATTCGGTGAAGATTTTGTTGAGGAACTACTTGGGGTACGAGGAAGGTGACTTAAGCGACGACGTTTTGAAGGAATTTGAAAGGGTTGTGGATAAGGCGGAGATTACGCCGGCTGATGTAAGTGAGTGTCTTATTAAGAATAGGAGGGATAAAGAGAGAGCTGTGAGGGAGTTGTTGGTGGAGATGAAAAGAAGGGTGGAGAAAAATGAGAACAATGGGAAGTTAAGGGGTCAAAATGGGAGCTTTAACGTGGCTGATGAAGAGGAGGAGAAGAGGGCTTTGGACAGTCCTTATGGAGATAAGGAAGAGATTGAGGACAGCATTTGCAAGAATAGTGAAGGTTAAGAGTTTCATTGTTTCATTGTTTGCTTAGGTTTCTCTAACATTCTATGCTTACACAATGTTAAAGTTGTTGCGATCTTTCTTTTTTCTTTCTTTTTTTTTGGGTAGTCAACCTTTCGAGGTGGGATAAAGTGAATTTAGAAGAATAAAACAGCTAGAGAGTTTTGTTGAAAAGAGCCAATGGTGGTGCTGAAAGTTTTTTTGTATGTGGGGATTAGAAAATGCAAAGAGAATCATTGGATAAACCATTGGCATATGATATGTTATGACTTATAATAATAGTATTGTTATAGAATATCATTGATTTTTGTTGAGTGTCATGTAGTTATCATATATTATTATGCGCTGCTGTATGGGAGTTTGTATTCAAACTATCTACTTTAGTTGATTATGTATCCCAAGATTAATAATTAACTAGATTTTGACCCGCGCTTGAAAGCGCGGAAATTTTTTATGATTAAAAATTTATATAATTGGGTTTTGTCTTAGTTTAAAGAATATTTTGATATAAAATCAGTTCACTAAAATTTGTGGTGGTGATTATTTTTCATTAGTTTTTAGTTTCAGTTTTTATTTTTTAGATTTTGGTTTTTAGTTTTTAGTTTTTAAGTTTCTACTTTTCATTTTCAGTTTTGGGTTTGAGTTTTTAATTTTTAAACCTGCTGAGTTAGTTTAAACTAATATTATCAACAAAAAAAATCCCAAATAATCGAACATCAAATTCAAAACTGAAAAGATGACAACAAATTTTTTTAAAAAAATTGAAATAGTTTATTTTGTAGATAAACAAAGCAAAAAAAATATAACATGTGTTTTCAGCTTTTGGTTTTGGATTTTAGTTTTTAAATTTGGTTTTTGGTTTTTGGTTTTTCTTTACATTTTTTTAATCTGTAAATTATTTAAGAAAAATAAAACAATAAATTATTTAAAAGTTACCATTGAAATTTATCAAAACAAAGTGATTGTTATTTAGAATAAAAAATATTAACATGTTTTAATGTACATGATTTAAATAAATGATTAATAATAGATAATTTTGTTTTGTTAAAAATATTAAATATCTTTTGGGTCTGAAAATAATAATTGATTTTTTGATCTTTTAAGGTGAAAAATTTATTCAATGTTTTTAGAGTTTTTTTCTTAATAATAAGCCCAAAAACCAAACTATATAATTTGTTAAAAAAATAAAAGTAAGCCCAAGACTGTATTCTATAAATAACCACTGGTTTAATTTAAGTACAATTAGTAGATTTCCATATTCCATATTTTGATGATATATATTCTTTTAGAACATTCCATATTTGTAGGAGAAAATATATGTTTTCGGTATACACATAGATACCTGCCATATTTTGAAGGTAGTTTACATTAAAATCGTTTCTTTACATTAATTGTGTTGGTTTAATTTAAGTAATATGGTTCAATCAATTATATGACTTATATTATTTGTAACATTCTAGAAAGAGTCTAAATTTAAATGACAACTTATATCAGTAGATAAAAAGAATGACTCTGTTTTAATATAGTAGATATACAAGTCAGTGCATACTACTTGTTTTGAGATTTGGATATGGTAGGCTACTAAGTGAGCACACCGGTTTTGGATTTCGCTGGACTTTTGAGTAAAAGAACATCTACGCATGATAGTAATATTGTGACAAAACTTCATAGTGTCTTTGTTGTAAAATAAAATAATAGTATGTCTTATGATATCTATTATATTAAAAGAGAAGTCATGACTCACTTCATGTGTGATATTTTAGTTTAGACCATCCTTAGAATTTTATAAAATTTTGCATAACATTATAATATCTTTTCATATTGTTAATTTTTGTTTGAAATACAAATAAATAGTTTTAAGAAAATTCTAACAAAATCTTTTGAAAATCTTTAGAATCTTTACAAGATATAGTTTCAAAAATTATTTGATTAAAATTTTAATTATCATTAAATATAGTTAAAATTTAGTTCATTTTTTATTTATAAACAAAAAATTAAAATTATGTAAAATACTTTTATCAATATCCCAAAATTTTGTTTATGTATTATGTAGGCCAAACTTAATTTACTTTTTAAATATATTTCCAATTTAGAAATAAAATAAAATATATAATTAGTAATGTTAGATAATATTGTTTTAAAAAATTGTTACAAAAATAAAAATTATAAATCTTATATATTAAAAGAGAAGTCATGACTTCACTTCATGTGTGATATTTTAAAATGGACCATCTAATAAAATTTATGACATTACATTATTTAATCATTAATAACATTCATTAGATTCACTAATAACATTTATTGGGCTTATTAGAAATTTTTATTGGGCTAATAAAAATTAGATGATCTATTGGATTTATAGATATTATAATAAAATACATGTTTAAATTAAACTTATATAATTTAATATTGTAATAGTATAAGTTAATTATTTATATATTTTTGATGTTAACTTTAAAAATTATATAATTTATTTTTAAAAATAAAAAATCATCATTTTCTAACAATAATTAATCTATACTATATAATAATTAATCATCAATTTTGATATACACACCTTATATAATATATACCAATTTAGAAGTAAAAAATGGTTATATAAAAATAGATGAAAACAAATACCCGCGCGGTTGCGCGGGTTGAGATCTAGTCTATTATATTAAAAGAGAAGTCACAACTTCTCTTCATGTGTGATTTTTTAAAAATGGACATTTCCTTAGAAAAGTTGTTATCTTTTCTTTTGTATTTGTATAATAAAATCTTAATAACCATATTTAATTCTCATTTTCATTCTCTCAATACATAAGAGCATCTTATATTAAATTAGCAATACATTTATATAAACATTTAAATATATGTTCAACGTTAAAAATATATATCACTAATGTCATAAAATAAATAACATATGTATATAAAAGTGAAAACAACACCCTCGCGGTTGCGCCGGTAAAGATCTAGTTAAAAGATTATTATCGGATATATGTTTATTGTCTTATATCAATGTTATATATCTAACTATACATAAGCAAAAATTATTCTGGTGCAGTTTCATATATATATATGATCATTTATCACATAACCATCACATAGTGAAATGCCATTCTTGATATTTACATATTATTTCAAAATTCTTGATTTAATCACCAACAAAACATAAATATACATTTATTTTTGTTATTATAAAAGACATATTCCAAATCTGAAAATCTGCATTTTCTTAATGTAAAATANAATATACATTTATTTTTGTTATTATAAAAGACATATTCCAAATCTGAAAATCTGCATTTTCTTAATGTAAAATATGTCTTTTACTAAACAAAATTTTGAATGTATTTAGAATAAGTTTTGTATTTTTAACATAATTATTTTAATTTAAATCTATTATATTAAAAGAGAAGTCACAACTTCTCTTCATGTGTGATTTTTTTAAAAATGGACCTTTCCTTATCAAAGTTGTTATCTTTTCTTTTGTATTTGTATAATAAAATCTTAATAACCATATTTAATTCTCATTTTCATTCTCTCAATACATAAGAGCATCTTATATTAAATTAGCAATACATTTATATAAACATTTAAATATATGTTCAACGTTAAAAAATATATATCACTAATGTCATAAAATAAATAACATATGTATATAAAAGTGAAAACAACACCCGCGCGGTTGCGCGGGTAAAGATCTAGTTAAAAGATTATTATCGGATATATGTTTATTGTCTTATATCAATGTTATATATCTAACTATACATAAGCAAACATTATTCTGGTGCAGTTTCATATATATATATGATCATTTATCACATAACCATCACATAGTGAAATGCCATTCTTGATATTTACATATTATTTCAAAATTCTTGATTTAATCACCAACAAAACATAAATATACATTTATTTTTGTTATTATAAAAGACATATTCCAAATCTGAAAATCTGCATTTTCTTAATGTAAAATA